TAGACAATGATGAGCTGAGAGCTGTAGGGGAAGTGAATCCATCTCAACCTGTGCATGAATTAGCAGCAAGGTTTGAGGTTACTATTCCAACAATATTGGACCATCTGTAACAAATCAGCAAGGTAAAGAAGCTGGATAGATGAGTTTTGCATGAATTAAACTAGCGTCAGGGGAAATGTCTGGAAGCTCGCCTTTCTTTGCTGTCACAACATGAAGGTGAACCATTTGTATACCATTTTGTTACATGTGATGAAAAATGGATTCTTTTTTACAATCATAAGTGTTCGGCACAATGGTTAGATAAAGATGAAGTACCAAAACACAGTCTAAAACCAGATATTCATTTTAAAAAGCTAATGACATCTGTTTGGTGGTCCAGCACTGGTATTATCCACTACACCTTCATGAAATCTGGTCAATCTATGATAGCGGATGTTTACTGCAACCAACTGAAAGAAATGATAAGGATGCTTGCAATTAAGCAGCCAAGACTGGTCAATAGAGACAGGCCAATCCTCTCGCAAGACAACACTTGACCATATGTTGCACAAACAATGCTGCTCAAACTCATCTACCATGTTCACCAGACCTGCACCAACTGACTACCACTTCTTCCAGACTTTGGACTACTTCTTGCAAGGGAAAATATTCAATTCTCAACAAGCTGTGGAAAACGCCTTTCACGATTTCATTGCCAGTCACTTTCTAGGTTTCTTTGCTGCTGCATAAACAAGCTGCCATTAAGATAGCCAAAATTTGTCAATTATTTAGGTGCAAATTTTCATTAATTGTACTACTTCCTATATGAGAAATAAACTACACTTTTGATTCAAAATTGGACATTTCATATTTAACAACCTAATAACATTTAACAGGCCACCAAGACATGTAAGAAGCCTTCTGTGTGACTCTCATGCAAGTTCCAGTTTAAAAACCACAAGGTTAGAGGTTATGAAAAGAGAAGGAAACCAGTAAAATATTATAATTACAACACAAATATCAAAAGAATGAACCTGCAGAAAGAACAAGCAAATAGTAATTGATATTCTACCCTCTGTCTTTCCAAAGGGCAGTATATTTCAATTTAAGGAGGAAGAAAATAAATGTACAGGAACAATGTAATCTCAAGGCTCTAATAAAGACCACTAAGGAATCTTTAACTGGTTATAAAATCAAAGAAATTATTCATAATGAATTATGACCACATTATTCATTATTTTCCTCATTCAGCATACATTTACTGAATATTACTATTATACGAGACATGATACTAAAACCTGAAGCTGTAATGAATAGGTTTCAAATTAAAGTATAAGAAATTTCAAAAAAGTCAAAGCTTTACTGTAATTGTGTTTGTTGCACTGGAACTCATTATCAAAGAAGATTCTAAAGAAAAGGATAGTCAGTTTATCAACAGTTTATCAAACCTTTTTAGTTTATCAATTGTAAGTCCAATTAAATTAATTTCAATGTCTATGTGCCTAAAGCAATAGTTCTGATTCTCTAAAACTAATTATATAATATATAAAACACATATACACATAGATACATATGTAGATATTTAATATAACAAAAATAAGCTTTAAGATTAAAAAACTCTGAACTAAACATATATGAGAATTAATTCTTTTAGAATCTCATCAAATTCCTTTTGATCCTTAATGGTAATTTTACTGCATGGTTGCCTCCTCTACCTAGTAAGTTCACTGTGTTTGTAAACCATGTGAATCCATATCATTTTCTCTTGGGAAGCAACATTGTGTACTAGAAGAGAGCACAGGCTCTGGAGTAAGACAGATCTGAGTTCAAATCCTTTCTCAGCTATTTAATTTATATGTCATTGAATAAATTAGTTGACTTTGTAAGCATCAGTTTTTCATCTTTAAAATAATTTTAATGATACTTTCACCATAAGAGTATTGAAACATTTAGTTGATTAACAAGTTCATGATAGTTCATAAATGATATGTCCTTACTCCTTTTTCTTTTGAAGACTGGCATCCCTTTCATTTAGTCCATTAATTATCCTCAAGACATTAATATAATTTCACATTGACAACTTGAAATGGGATGCTATTTACAAGATTTGTCCTCTAAAGGTCCTTCCATGGACACATTTTGGCATCTCATGAATCCTTCCAAATGTTTAAATACTAAAACTATAGTGAAGGGAATGAGACTGGCATGGGATGTTAGGAGACCCAGACACTAGTTTCATTAATGCCAGGAAGTAGCTTGGGTTTTCTCTCTTTGGATTTGGGATAATGTCTCATGAAAAATGAAGGTGTTAAGACTGGATCCGGCCGGGCATGGTGGCTCACGCCTGTAATCCTAGCACGCTGGGAGGCCGAGGCAGGTGGATTGCTCAAGGTCAGGAGTTTGAAACCAGCCTGAGCAAGAGCGAGACCCTGTCTCTACTATAAGTAGAAAGAAATTAATTGGCCAATTAATATATATAGAGAAAAAAAATTAGCCAGGCATGGTGGCGCATGCCTGTAGTCTCAGCCACTCAGGAAGCTGAGGCAGAAGGATTGCTTGAGCACAGGAGTTGGAGGTTGCAGTGAGCTAGGCTGATGCCACAGCACTCACTCTAGCTTGGGCAACAAAGCGAGACTCTGTCTCAAAAAAAAAAAAAAAAGACTAGATCCTTTCTAAAGCCTCTTTTGGGTCTTTACAATTCTGTGATTCTAGCTTTTCTGAAAGAATTGTTTTGGATCATAAGCAACTGGACCCTTAGAATTAGGAGCACATTTTATTTGAAAAGATATGCTCAAGATAGAAAAGACAAAGTAGGGGCTAACAAAAAGATCAACCTAGCTCAAAAATACCTGTTTTACCACATTCATCCTGGTGTAATCAGGTCTAGAATAGAAATGTCTTTTTGTCATGGGTAGATCAACAAAATGTGGTATACACACACACACACACACACTATGGAATACTACTCAGCCACGAGGAAGGATGAATTAAGGCCTTTTGCAACAATTTGGATGGAACTGGAGACCATTATCCTAAGTGAAGTATCTAAAGAATGGAAAAACAAACTCTACATGTACTTGCTATTTAGTTGAAACTAAAAGATGAGCACACATGTATAGAGAGGAAAGTACAACTCAGCAGAAATCACACAGGGAGGAGGGGGAAGGAGGCAATGGGTAAAAACCTATCTAACAGGTACAATGAACACCATCTGGGTGATGGGCACACTTACAACCCTGACTCAAACAGAACAAAGGCTATCGGTGTAGCCAAAATCATTCACACCTCGTAATATTCTTGGCGGGGGGGGGGCAGGGGGGGAATGTCTTTTTGCATATAAATTTATGTAATAGAATTTTTTTTTTTTTTTTGAGGCAGCATCTTGTTCAGTCTCCCAACCTAGAGTATACTAGGGTCATCATAGGTCACTGCAACCTCAAATTCCTGGGTGTAAGTGATTGTGATTTTCCTGCCTCAGCCTCCTGGGACTACAGGTACATGCTACCACACCTGGCTAATTTTTGCTATTTTTTGTAAAGATGGGGACTCGTACTCCTGGCCTCAAGCAAACCTCCCACTCAGGCATCCCAAAGTGCTAGGATTACAAATTTGGGCCACTGAACCCCACCTAGAATTTTAATCTCTTATAGAATATATGATTTGAATATCAGTCCTTCTGAAATACTTCCTTAGCAATGATTATGGTGTGAGTAGCTGGTCTCTTCCTCTTTTGTTGTCTTGTCACTTTTCCAATCAATCTAATACCAGGCCTTATGACTAGAGAATGTGACTTATGAGGGTCAGCAAGATAATCTAAGAATTATCTATTTTTTTCTCTCAATACTGTATATAGTGAGGTGTAACAGTTATCTTTCAGGTATTTGCTTGACTCAAAATTTACCTTTCTGCAAAGAATTGCATAACTGACATTTGAATACACTTCCATTTTTTATGGGTTTATTTATCAAGAAACAACAATATGACTCTAGGTCCTCGGAGAAGCTCAAGTTATCTATGAAGACATCAAAATATGAGAAAAGTTTGTTTTAATTTTAGTTCAGTATAAAAGCATTTATTTTCTTTGAAAATAGCTGGCCATTGTTGTGTTTTTATTCACAACATCCTATTTGTGTATGGCTGGCTAGTAATACAAAATCAGTAAATGATGCAAAGAAAATAAGTAATGTTTCATATTTACTTCCCACTAAATAATCATTCACAGAACTAGGATCACGACTATGAGAGAGAGATCAGCCTCCCAATTTTCTAAACCATACAAAATATCTTCTTCAAAATGAACAGTATTACACTAATCAAAAGGCCATCATTTTTTTCAAAGAAGTCCCTCACTGTATAAACATATAAATTTATGATGAAGTCATCTACATTCATAGTAAGTTATACTTAATGCTTAATTGTCCAAGTAATCGTTTCTATTATTCATCATGTGTTATCTATTTCTATAATATGGTCTTTTAATCAGAAAAAATCATGATTACAATTACTGAAGAATAAATAGAAATCCAAGGAACTTAATGTCAAAGAATTGTACAGCTCTGAAATTTAATTTCTATGTCATTTGGGAGGGTCTCTTTAGAAATTTGGAAAATTTACGCCAAACAAATTCAGAGTTTTGGTTAGAAATAGCTTTCCCTAAATACCATAAAAAACTTATTTTAGTGGAGACTAATTTATGTAAGTCTTTTATACAAAATAAGAAGATATTTTAACCTTTATGCCAAGTTTTTTCTCTTTAAGATGCATAAATTAGATTTGTTTTTCAATTGCCTGAGACATAATTTATAAACTGGAACTAGCTGACTTATAATGATGAAAACCTTAAAGGCAATAACCTCTGTCAAATTAAAACATCAAGAAAAGGGGAACAAAGGCAAAAGAATAATCTCTATTCAATACAGTTTAAAAACAGCATGAAATCAGTGAACAGATCAGAAGGGACTTTTTATTTTAAAGAGAGAGAAAAACCAAAACAAAAATGAAAGACAACAGCTTAAACTTACTGGGTTATCTGAGGAATCATCAGCAAACTGTAAACCAAAATAGTCTTGCTCCGTCAAATCAAGATGCTTGAAGACTATATCCAACAAAACTTGCCCCTGAGCATGTTTCTGGAAGAAAGATAAGATGAAATCAACTTGGATAGGCTATATACTTTATGGCTTTTTAACCTGGTGACTTTTTCCCTCTTCTATTAAATTGGCAACTGTTTCCACTCAAATGACTTGATGGAGAATAAAGACTTTACATGTGACAGTATTTTTAAAGAACAATCTGACCTTAGGGAAACTGGTTTAGAGAGTACATAATACACATGAAGATATAAAGAACATTTAATTAAAAATACTTTCCCTTTCTAGCTATTATCATGGTATTTTTGTTATTTCATATTGTTGCCACATTAACTCATGTATATATCCATATCATTTTCTTATGCCTTTTATTCTTATATTTCAATTATGACTGGAAAATGAAATTTGACTATAAGTGCAATTTAAAATACAATTTTGTCTTCCAGGTAATAATAAAAGATCAGTATTAACCAGCTCTAAAAAAAATAAATAAAATAAAATAAAATACAAATTTGTGTAAAATAAATAATGCTTCAAAAAGGGAAACAAATATGGTAAAATTTTTGTAGCAAACTTGATAAAGGACTAATATTTTCATCACAAAAGTACACAGAGAACTTTAGAAAAGTATCTCATTTTAATCTCACACTAATTCTAACATGCAGGTATTGTTATCCCTTATTTACTAAGAGTAAATAAAACTTCCCCAAGTTCCACAGCTGCTAAATTGTAGTACAAAAGACATGATTAGATAATTTCCTAAAAAAGAAATAAAATTAATGAATAAAAACAGAGAAATGATCAATATGTTCAGTAAAAAAAATGAAAATGGGAAATTATAATGACACGCCATTAGCAAATAATCTAAAAAAAAAAAATCCAGTGTGTAAGATAAAAAAAAATACTTATTGCTGCTAACATTGTAGATAGATACCTGCTGCGAAAGCAATCTGAGGAAACAAGAGCAATAGTAATATCAATAATATCAACTACTCTAGCATCCTAACCTAATTAGGAATAGCTAATAAAATCCAACTTGTGGGAAATAACTATACATACCAATATGTTCACTGCAGAGGTTTATTTTTGATGCATTTATGTGAGACATATAATTAGAAAAACACGTTCTATGGTTTGCATTTGTCCCCCAGAATTCATGTGTTGAAAATTTGGTAGTCAGCAGTGTTGAGAATTGGTGACTTTGAGAGGTGACTAGGTTCTTAACAGGGACTGGGTTAATTTTTTTTTTTTTAAAGAGGTCTTGCGGCTGGGCGTGGTGGCTCACGCCTATAATCCTAGCTCTCTGGGAGGCTGAGGCGGGTGGATCGTTTGAGCTCAGGAGTTCGAGACCAGCCTGAGCAAGAGTGAGACCCTGTCTCTACTATAAATAGAAAGAAATTAATTGGCCAACTAATATATATAGAAAAAATTAGCCGGACATGGTGGCACATGCCTATAGTCCCAGCTACCTGGGAGGCTGAGGCAGAAGGATCGCTTGAGCCCAGGAGTTTGAGGTTGCTGTGAGCCAAGCTGACGCCACGGCACTTACTCTAGCCTGGGCAACAAAGTGAGACTCTGTCTCAAAAACATAAAAAAATACAGAGGTCTTGCTACATTACTCAGGCTGGCCTAGCATTCCTGCTCCTGGGCTCCCACCTCAGCCTCTCAAATAGCTGGGACTACAGGCATGCACCATTCCACCCAGCAAGACTAGGTTAATTCCTAGGGAGTGAGTTCTTGCTGCCTCAGAACTAGATTAGTTATTGCAAGCAGGTGGTTCTAAAGGAAGGTCACCCTTACTTTTATACTTGTCACATGCACCCACCTCCCCTTCTGCTTCTTTACCACGTCATGAGACAAGACACCCTCATCAGAAGCCAACTAGATGTGACCACCCAATCTTGGACTTCTAGCCAAAATAAACCTTTCCTTATAAATTACCCAGTCTCAGGTATTCTGATACAGCAACAGAAAATGGACTAAGAAAACATGGCAGAGACTAGTGATATATTTTACCACCAAATTTTCCTCTCATTAGCTACAACAGTATAGAAGCTTCCTGCTATGATTCAGAGCGGAAACAATAAGGACTTATTCTATTTCATGTAATTCAAAGTATAAGAGGCATAAATGATGCCAGAGCTAGCTAATTTGGCAGATGAAAGACATAATTAAGGACCAGGTTTCTTTCCATCTTTCCACATGTTGGCTGTATTTGTGGGCCTTTAGCAAGATGGTCATAGCAATTCCAACATTCATATCAATTACATGACAATGTTCAAAAAAAAACCTTCTTTGTAAAAGTTACCTTACAAAGACCTTCCCCTCACATCCTACTGGCCAGAACTGGGTCAAATGGCTATTTGCAAAACTCATCAATAGCAGGAAGTTATGTGCTTCATGCTTCTCAATATTGGTTCCCATTAAAATCACCTGCAAATATCTTTTATAGTGTTGCAACCCACCTCTCCCATCCCTCCCTCATTCTGATTAAACTGGTCTGGGGAAGAGACCAAGTTTTAATCTTTTAAAAAAGCTAAGATGAGTCTAATATACTCTAATAGAGACAAAATGAAGTAGATTCATTTCTTACTATACCTCCAGTGAAGGACAACTAAAAATTCTAGAAATATGAAAACAGATACAAATTTTTAAAACTCTGAAAGGTGGAAAGAAGGTAGAGACCTGCCTACAGACTTCTTTGAATTTTCTTTTTATTGAGGTAAAATTCATGTAATATAAAAGTAACCATTTTAAAGTATACAATTCAATGGCATTTATTACATTCACAATGTTGTGCAATCATCACCCCCTATGTAGTTCCAAAACATTTTCATCACACCAAAAGGTATCTCATACCCATTAAATTACATGTGACCTTTGAACAACATGGGTTTGAACTGCATGTGTCCACTTAAATGTGAATTTTTTCCAATAAATACAGTTGGCTCTCTGTATCCTCAGGCTTCACATCTGCAACCAAATGTACTCATCTGTCGGATGCAAAACCTAGGATACTCAGGGCCAAATTTTTGTATACTCAGGTTCCTAGAACCAATCCCCTGAGGATACCAAGTGACAAATGTAATACCCATTAACCCCTCCCTCGGGTCCACTGATCTACTTTCTATCTCTACGGATTTATGTATTTTGGATGTCGCATATAAAGTGGAATCACGCAATATGTGACCTTTTGTGTCTGGCTTCTTTCACTTAGCATAATGTTTTCAAGATTCACCCAAGTTGTAGCATGTATTAGTATTTCATTCCTTTGTAAGTCTATTTCATTGTATGAATACAACACATTTTATCAGTTGATGAACATTTAGGTGGCTTCTACTTTTTAGCTGTTGTGAATAATACTGCCGTGAACATTGGTGTATAAGTAGCTGTTTGAGTCTCTGCTTTCAATTCTTTTTTTTTTTTAAATACCTTAGAGTTTTAATTGCCCTTCTTTCAATAAGAGAAAAACTGCATGGCTGGAATTAACAGCTATATCTTGACTTCTGTAGAAATGTACAGTTGGCAAAACACTTTCCAATACACAATCTTGTTTAATCTTTACAACAGCACTGTTTGATGAGGAGGAACAGGGCCACTTAGGGCTTTGCCCAGGGTTACACCTGCTTTCAATTCTTTTGGATGTATACACAGAAGTGGAATTGCTGCATAATATGGCAATTCTATGCAATTTGATGTTTGACTTTTAAGGAATCACGAAAACTCTTTTCCACAGTAGCTACACTATTTTACATTCCCACCAGAATCATACAAAAGTTCTAATTTCTCCATATCCATGTCAACGTGTTATTTTGTTTTTTTAATTAAAGCCACTTCAGTGGGTGGAAGGTAGTACTTCATTGTGGTTTCGATTTGTATCTCCATAATGACTAATGATGTTGAGAGTTTTTTTCATGTGTGTTGCCCATTTATATCTTTAGAGAAATGTGTAATTAAGTCCTTTGCCCATTTTTAATCTTTTTGTTGTTGCATTCTAAGAGTTCTTTACATATTTTGAATATTAGACACCTATCAGATACATGATTGGCATATATTTTCTCCCTCTTTATAGGTTGTCTTTTCACTTTCTTGATCGTATCCTTTTGACATACAAGAGTTTTTAATTTGATTAAGCCCAATTTATTACTTTTCTTTTGTTGTTTATGCTTTTGATGTCACATCTAAGAACTCACTGCCCAGTCCAAAGTCATAAAGACTTACCCCTACCTATATCTTCTTCCAAAAGTTTTATATAGTGTTAGCTCTTACATGTAAGTCTTTCATTCTTTTTGAGTCTATTTTTATATATGGTAGGTATATACTTAGGTAGGGGTGCAATTTCATTCTTTGCATATGACTATACAGTTGTCCAAGCACCTTTTGTTGAAGAAACAATACTTTCCTCATTGAATATTCTTAGCAACTTTGTCAAAAATCAATCAACACTCATGCCTATCATCTTAGTACTCTGGGAGGCTAAGGCAGGAGGATCACTTGAGGCCAGGCATTCAAGACAAGCCTGGGTGACATAGTGAGACCCTGTCTCTTCCCCCCCAAAAAATTATTTTTTATTTTATTATTTTGGTACCTGGTATGCAGCTAAAAAAAAATTTTTTTTTTAAGAAAGAAAACCAATTGATCCTATGAGTTTATTTCTGGATTGTGTACTTTGGGTTTTCTTTTCACCTCCCATATATCATAGACTTGGTATTGGGGAATCCTGTAACACACAAATGCCAATAGGTACTGACAAAAATAACCCAAGAAAAGCAGTCTTCTTCTGGAAAAGGACCAGGTAGCTGGTAGGACAGAAACCTAACCAACACCACCAAACCCAATGGAAAAAACTGAGCCCTTCGCTAATAAGCATTCTTGAAAATCAAGACCAAGCCTGGGGTGGTCTTCTACCCCCTTCCAAGTTGTACCAATTAGTGCTTCATAATAGCTCCTCTAGGGTGGTTTTGAACTTCTACTTAGGTTTGTTGGTAGTAGGCAGTGCTTCGCTTCCCTCATTGAGTTGATGTTAGCAGAAGCTGAAG